ATAAATGTAATAAATAAAAATAAATAAATATAAAAAAAAGACCTTTAAAAAAAAAAAAGAAAAGAAAAAGAAAAGGTAAGGGGCCGGGGAGGTAGTTCAGTGAAATAAGCGCTTCCCTGGCAAGTGCAAGGGCCTGAGTTCAATCCCCAGTTCTGCAAAAAAAAAGAAAAAGAAAAGGTAAGCCCATCCTGGTGGCATACCACCTATAATCCTAGCACTTGGAAGACTAAGGCAGGAGGATTGCTCTAAATTGAGGCCAGCCTGAACTATAGTGATACTGTCTCAATAGCCCACCACCACCACCAAGAAAAAAAGCCTCAAGCTGGGTATGGTGGTACACATCTATAATCCCAGCACTCAGGAGGCTGAGGTAGGAGGATTACTGAGAGTTTAAGGCCAGCCTGGGCTACATAATGTGAGTTCAAGCCCAGTCTGAACTACACAGTGAGACCTTGTCTCAAAACAGAAAAGGCAGCCAAAGAACAGTCAGGGAGCAGTGAGGATCAGTCAGATACATTTTTTCATTGCTAATAGTCACCAGTTATGATTTACTAGGCTCAGAAAAGATTAAGAATAAAGCAGCTTACCTATATCCCCACTGAGTTGCCATATCTTCCCCAGGCAGGTCTTTCTGGGGAAGACTCTCTGATCTTTGGTTTCTCCTTTCTAGCAAATGAAGGTTTTGAACTAGTTGACTACTAAAGGCTCTTTTAGTGTAACCATGCTACATCTATAAGCAGGGAATCCTGTCCTTCATTCCCAGACACCCTGAAATAACCACTCTCCATTCATCATGAAAAGCATCAGGAATACACAAGTGCTCTCCCAACAGGAGGCCGGGCCCTGGCCCATCTGACCTGGCCTTCTTGTGTGTCTCCAGGGCTGTGTTCATGCTGGGCCTCTGAGTCCCCTTGCTCAGCTCTACTGAACCTGACTTGGTGCCACCAGAGCCAAGAGGAAAGTTGTGGGCATCTTGCACGGTGCGCAAGAAGAAAGTGGACACCACATAAGTGGTATAGGGAGAGAGGCACTCTAACTCCTGTAAGGACCCAAGACTGCCTCACTGCCACTACTTGGCGGCGTCTTTCTGTTTCAGGCCATCGTGAGGAAGCCACGAGCAGCTATGGCAAGTGGTCGCAGGAAGCGGACAGCCAGCCAGGAGGGAAGGGAGCAACGTCGCCGCAGTAGCAGGCAGGCCAAGCCGCCTGCCCCTGCCCCTGCCCCTGATGGTGAGAAGCTGGGCCTCGAAGCTGCTTTCACTAGCCATGAAATGGGACACGTCCCAGCTGGCAGGGGGCATGGTATGGAGAAAGACACAAAACACTAATTGAAGGTCTAATTCTGACTGTTGCTGTGTGACTTCAGGATTATGGCTCAGATTGGTGCTTTCTTACCAGGAAAGGAGAGTAGTAGTCTGGGCATTTCTTCCCTTGTGTGGCTTTCATGGTGTGAAATGCGCTTATGAACCTGTTTTATAAACAGGAAACCCTGCATGACTATGTTATGCCTGGCTAAAACTGTCGGCTTTTAGGGGCTGGTCAGATAGCTCAGCGGATTAAAGCACCTGCTTAGGCAGACGAGGGACCAGGGTTTGGTGCCCAATGTGCCTGCCCCAGGGGTACGCTGAGATGGCAACTGAGACTAGGCGTGGTGGCATGTGTCTGTAATCCCAGCACTTGGGATGCTGAAAACAGGAGGATCACTACGAGTCTGATCTGCATAGTGAGACCCTGTAGACTCTGTACTAAATACATAAAAATAAATATGGGCTGGGGAGATAGCTAGGGAGAATAAGCACTTGCCTGGCAAGCTCAAGGTCCTGAGTTCAATCCCCAGTACCACAAAATAAATAAATAATAAATAAGTAAAACTGTTGGGTTTTTCTTATGGCCCAGAAACAATGGAGCCAGCAGTATCATACTGAGAAAATTAAGGCCAGAAATGGGGCTAGAATCTGGTGTGACTCCAGCTGCAAAGCTTAAGCAGGGGCTGGGTTGGGGGAAGCTCTAAGTGGAAGCACATCTTGTGCAGGGCCGCTCTCTAAATATCCTGGGGCCCCTGCAGGCCTAGCTGGACAGCAGGAAGAGGAGGTATTACAGGCTCCCATATCCCCATACCATCTATTCAGAGATGCAGCAGAAGTCACAGCCTTCCGGGGGAACCTGCTGAGCTGGTATGATCGAGAGAAGCGGGACCTGCCTTGGAGAAGACGAGTAAGTAGGTGAGGGACAAAGGGGCTGGGGCAGGAGGTCAGCAGCCAACCTCTTTCACACTAACATCCCATGTGGGGCTGCATTGACAGGCAGAGGATGAGGTGGACCCAGACAAGCGGGCATATGCTGGTCAGTGCCTCTTCTGAGGTGGGGATGCTTTGCCTAGATGTCTTCAGGTTGGGGGCTGCAGACAAGGAGCAGGTAGGTGAGCGGTGTACTCATGCCAACCCTCTCCCCTAGTGTGGGTGTCAGAGGTTATGCTGCAGCAGACCCAGGTTGCCACAGTGATCAACTACTATACCCGATGGATGCAGGTGATGGATGCCAGGAGAGGGAGGGAAAGGTCGGGCCAGACTGCAGATGAAGCCTACACTTTGGGGTGGGTGAATAGCTGGCTTCCCTTGCCACCTGCAACCTTTACTCATTTTTTTCCTGCCTTGGGGCTGCAGAAGTGGCCAACACTACAGGACCTGGCCAGTGCTTCCCTGGAGGTGAGAGCCACTCTTGGGTAGGGGAATAAAGACACCTAAGGGACTGACTACTGATTTCTTTGCCCTGTGACCATATCCACAGGAGGTAAACCAGCTCTGGGCTGGCCTGGGCTACTATTCTCGTGGCCGTCGGCTGCAAGAAGGAGCTCAAAAGGTAGTGGGGTGGCAAGGGGCTGTGGGTCCCAAGGCCTGAGGTGTCTCATAACTTTGAGCTTTCTTCCCCTAACTAGGTGGTAGGAGAACTAGAGGGCCACATGCCACGTACAGCAGAGGCCTTGCAGAAGCTCCTGCCCGGTGTGGGCCGGTACACAGCCGGGGCCATTGCATCTATTGCATTTGACCAGGTGAACTGTAGGCCCCTGCCTCTTTGTGTCCTTATGCCCCTTTCTCCTTGCCTAGTCTAACTCTTGGGCTCCTCTGTACCAGGCAACAGCTGTGGTAGATGGGAATGTCATGCGAGTGCTGTGCCGTGTACGGGCCATTGGTGCCGATCCCAGTAGCAACTTTGTCTCTCAACAGCTCTGGTAGGGTAGTGGAAGATCCTGGGAAATGGAAGGAGTTGGCAGGGGTTCCTTCAAAGAATCTTTGGCTCATAGCAGTATTTCCTTCTTGTAGGAGCCTAGCCCAGCAGCTAGTGGACCCAGCCCGGCCAGGAGACTTCAATCAAGCAGCCATGGAACTGGGGGCCACAGTGTGTACTCCACAGCGCCCCCTCTGCAGCAGCTGCCCTGTGCATAGCCTGTGTCGGGCACACCAGAGGGTGAGCACAGTGGGGGAGGAGCAGCCAGAGTCCTAGGGAGGGACCCTTCCCATTATGCTTTGCCTGTGCTTCTCAGGTGACTCGAGAGCAGCCCTCTGCCTCACAGAGCCCACCAGGAGGTCCTGATGTGGAAGAGTGTGGTGAGAACAATCCCAACCATAACCCCAGCCCCTAGGCTGTCAGGAAACAGCCTATGGAAGCTTCATTCCAGTTCATCTAACTCCAGTAGGATTCTGTAGAGCTGGCCCAGCCTGGACTCTGGGCATGGCACCTATTCTCCTGGCCTGAGCATGGCTTGGGCATCTTTGTTCTCAGCTCCCAATACTGGACAGTGCCGGCTGTGCCTGCCCCACACAGAACCCTGGAATTGTACCCTTGGAGTGACCAACTTTCCCCGAAAGCCTAGCCGAAGGCCCCCCAGGGAAGAGCACTCTGCCACTTGTGTTCTCGAACAACCCAGAGCCCCTGGAGGTACTCGCCTTCTGCTGGTACAAAGGCCCCATTCAGGTACCAGGGAACTGGGCATGGGGGGCAGTGAGATGAGCAGTGGGGAGATATAGAGAAGTCAGCAGCCAAGACCCAACCCACACCAGGCTGCTCTGTCCCCCAGGCCTGCTGGCAGGACTATGGGAATTCCCATCGGTGACTGTGGCACCCTCAGGACAGCATCCCAGCAAGGCTTTGCTGCAGGAACTGCAGACCTGGGCCGGGCCCCTCCCAGCCACCCGCCTGCAGCACCTTGGGGAGGTAAGTGTGCCAGAGGGGCCAGCAGTGACAGCTGTTTCTGGCCACAGTCACAATCCTGTTTCAGCCCCTTCCCCTTCCTCAGGTGGTGCACACCTTTTCTCACATCAAGTTGACTTATCAAGTGTTCAGCCTCACCCTGGAGGAGCAGAACCCAGTGACCACCGCACCCCCCGGTGCCCGCTGGCTGACTCGTGAAGAATTTCAAAGTGCAGCTGTCTCTACTGCCATGAAAAAGGCACATTTGTTGTCTACTTTGTCATTTTTTGTGTTTCCTGCCTGCCACATATATGAACTTACTGTATAAACCGAGAAACTGTATCAACAAAAGTACTGGGGCATGAAGTTGAGGGCAGAGCATAGGGATTTGGCTGTTTGGAGAAGGTGCCAGTCCTGTCTTGTCTCCTCTTCTTGGCCAGGTGTTCCGAGTTTATGAGGCACATCAACCAGGGATCTTCAGGGTGAGTCTCTTGGCAACCATCTCTTCCTAGATCTGAATCCATGGTTTTCCAGGCATTTTGATGTGTGAGGTTGAACATTCTCCAGGTTTTACAGGGGACAGAGGAAATAGTTCTTGACCTGGGGATCAAGGCAATAGTCTTCTAGGTGTGTGAGATGTTCATGGTAGGTTTTCTGGGCTGCAGAGTGGGAGCTATCAGTTCTGTCTGGGACGAAACAATTGGGAAAGGTCACTTGGAGGAAGAGTTTGCTAATTGGGGTCCTAGAAATAAGTTATTTTCTTCAGGTTTGGAGGGGTACCAGCAAAATGTTCCTCCCAGGCCCAAGAGTAGAGGCACTAAAGTAGGGCACAGCACAGTCTGCAGTGCTCAGAGTTGCATGTGGTTTGGTCTGCTGCACCTGCTCGCTCAGTCAGGGCATGAGAACCAGGCTACTGATGTATCTTGGGTAAGGAGAGGAGAGTTGAATTTACACCTTAGGAAGATGTTCTTGGATTGCCTTTTGGAGTGCTGATTGAAGGGGCCGATAGTTGGAGCCAGGTAGAGGGATCTAGCATTCTAGGCTAGAACCTGATCTAGATTGGCAAAATGGAGAGGATCCGGATGCTCCCTCCTTAGTATCTCCCTCTTTTGGCTTCTGTACAGGGTTCCAGAAATTCCCAGGTGTCTGCTCCATCCAGTTGCAAAAAGCCCAGCCGGGGCCAGCAAGTCCTAGATAATTACTTCCAGCCTCTCAACAGTGCAGCCCAGTGATGCCTTTGGAATTCTATTGAACTCTACCTCCGAGAATCCTGTGGTTTAATAAAGTGCTTATGTTTTCAGTCTTCTGAAGAGCTTCCTACATTCTCCCTGCCTTCTTCATTTCTTACCTTTGAGGGACCCAGAAAGTCATGGGTCCTGACTCCCTGGTTGAGCTTCCAGACAGCTCTGGACAAATGAGGTTCCATCCAAAGCACCTGCTTTCCCCTTTCCCCTGCAGAAAGTGACAGCAGCTGCAGGGGACTCCTGCCAGGGGCTGACACCCAACACCTTCACTCTAGGTCTCAGGTCAACTCTGATTGGAGCAGTAGCATCACCTTAGGGCAGGTGATTGTGATAATCCCGACTTAGGTTGCTCCCACCTGCAGCGGTAGCTCCTCTAGAGAGAAGGAAAGCACTGGAGGACTTATTCTTAAATTCCTACCTCAAAAACCAAATCTTTATTAAGGATATATATCATATGTAGTGAAACAATATAGAAAAGCAAAGCGTTAGTAATTAAAATTGGTGAGGGGGGAGGGAAGAAATGTGATCAGAGGAATATAAAGGCTTCAAAGGGCTGGAGAAATAGCTCAGTAAAATAAGAGCTTGCCTGGCAAGTGCCCTGAGTTCAATACCCAGTTCCACCAAAAAAAAAAAAAAAAAGTCTTCAAAAATACTGGTTGTTGTCTACTTTGTCCCTTTTTGTGTTTCCTGCCTGCCACAATGTACATGAACTTATTGTATAAACAGAAAAAGACATCAACAAAAGTACTGGGGCATGAAGTTGAGGGCAGAGCATAGGGATTTGGCTGTTTGGAGAAGGTGCCAGGGGTGTAGCTCAGTGACAAAAGCCACCTGCCTGGTAAGGTCCTGAGTTTGATTCCTGATTTTTTAAAAAAGAAAAAAAATACTGGTTCTATTTGACCTAATTGTGTACTTCTTTGCTTGTTCTTTATCTTGAGTATGTATTAGATGTTAAACTGTAAGAAATTTAGTTTTTAAAAAACAGTACCCTTTCAATCCCCAGTTCCGCTAAAAAAAAAAAAAAAAAAAACAGTACCCTTTTTGTGGGTGGGGGCAAGCAAGAAGGGAGCACCATGAAGGCCTTGGGCACACTCCGGGAATACAAGGTGGTGGGGCGCTGTCTACCTACCCCAAAGTGCCACACACTGCCTCTCTACCACATGCAGATTTTCACACACAACCATGTCACCAAGTCCCATTTCTGGTACTTTGTGTCCTAGCTGAAGAAGATGAAATCTTCAGAGGAGATTGTCTACTGTGTGCAGGTGTTTGAGAAGTCTCCACTGCAGGTGAAGAACTTTGGCTTCTGGCTGCGCTATCACTCCCGCAGTGGCACCCACATGTACCGGGAGTACCAGGACCTGACCACAGCAGGCGCCGTCACAGCAGTGCTACCTGGACATGGGCTCCCGGCACCGAGCCGGCACCCACTCCATCCAAATCATGAAGGTGGAGGAGATCGCAGCCAGCAAGTGCCGGCGGCCCACTGTCAAGCAGTTCCACAACTCCAAGATCAAGTTCCTCACCGGGTCCTGCGTCGCCAGCAAAAGCCCCGCTTCACTACCAAGAGGCCCAACACCTAGAGGCCGTGCCAACAAACCTGGCGCAGCTCCACAAAAAAATAAAAATAAAAGAACAGTTCCACCTCTTTGGATCACAGTGAGACTCAACTGCTCACAGGTTCTGAGACAGAGGCCACACTGGGCCCCAGAGCAGAGCTTTTCTCCAGCTGGCCTCCTGGGTGTTGCTCAGCCCCAGACCTTGAGATGGGATTCCCCAAAGCTCCAGGATCAGTGAGTGCACCCAGCTCCGCGTCCCTTCAGGCTTCCTGGCTCCTGATAGCTTCCTCTTGTACTGACTGCCATAGTGCCCGGATGTTGTCCTGGCCGAAGCCGGTGGCCCCCTGTCTCTGAATCAGCTCTAGAAAGAAGGTGCCTTCAGCAAAGAGGGACTTTGTAAAGACTTGTAGCAGAAATTTGCCTTTCTCGCCATCTATCAGGATTCCCTGTTGGGCCAGAAGGCGCAGCTGGTGCCCTGCCTCTCGGATCTGTCTCTCTTTGCCAGGCTGCTGGTAGTATGCCTCGGGGGGCATGAGGAACTCGCCTCCTGCCACGACCATCCCCTTCGCGGCTTCCAAGATATTGGGAGTGTACAACCCTATGTGCTGCAGGCCTGGCCCCCTGTGCCGGGCCAAGAACTGCTCCACCTGATCCTGTGTGCTAGTGGCTCCCGATAGGGACTCGGCCAGCACGAGGGTGGGGACGGTGCTGCATGTTGGGGTCTGTAGGGCAGTGAGCCGCAGTCCCCCTCGCCCAGACCCTGCAGCCACCTCGAGGCCCAGCTCCGGATCCTCACCTGGGCTCAAAGGCAAGTGGTGAAAGCCCAGGCAGTCGTGAAACCATCGCTGAAGTGCAGGGGAGCTGCCGGCCGTGCAGGCCAAGGTCAAGTGGTCCACGTGGCTGACCCAGCCGGGGCCGGGCACGCATGGCACGGGTCGGAAGCCGGGCAGGAAGCACCCGCGGTAGCCTGCGCGTGCCAGCAGGGTCAGGCTGAGGTTTCCAGCTGGAGAGCTGAGCACCGCGTAGGTGGCCGCGCCCTGCGCGTCCCGCACGCTGGCTGGGGGCACTGACACGCGGCAGCCCTGCGCCGCCAGCGCCCGCACGGCTGCGTCCGGGTCCTCCACGTCAAAGCACAGGTTCGTCGCGCTGGGCACCGCGTGACGCGAGTCCACCCCGTACAGCGGCTCCCCGGGCCCTGCGCCCTCGTTCACCAAAAAGACGGCGTCTCCGCTGCGCAGAGCCAGCTGCCTCCAGCCGCCCGCCTCCCGCGCCGCCAGGGGCTGGAAGCCGAAGAGGCGCTGCAGGCGCCGGGCGAGGGGCTGCCCGGGGGGCACATGGAAGGCGATATGGCATAGCCCGCGGGCGCGCGCGGCCATGGTGGGCTCAACGCCCCAGCCCGGCCCAGGTCCCCACTCGCCTTCCGGAACTTGAGGACTGGCGGGCTCCCGGGGCGGCTGGCAGCCGGTGGAGTCCAGTTCTAACCCCGAGCGCGCTGCTCCCTCCTTCCGGGGCCAGAGGTCTCGGAGGCACCTTGCAGCGCGGTTCTCTCCGTAGCGCCCGCCAGTCGAGCTCCTCCGGACGACCGGCTCCGACCCGCGAGCTGGGAAAACCACGCGGAGCCGCTCCGCGCTGCAGGAGGACAATCGCGACTCCGCCCTCAAGCGCCCCCGTGAGCCGACTCCAGTCCCTGAAACTTTCTCAGAACAGAGGCAGGGTCACAACCTCGGGCGCCGACCCTCCCTGCGGGCTGGGATCACAGCAGCGCTTTCACTCGGTGCCAGGAGCTAGGTGGTCAGCTTTCTGAGACCTCACAACAAAGGTTTCAGCTCCAATTGGGGGAGGAACCCAAATTCTTCTTTCAGAGACACGGAATTTCTTGGCGCTTTAATGCTTTTCCTTTACAAATCAGGAGTTTGCCTTTAACTCCTAATATTCCATTAAATTGTTTAAAATGTTTCAGCAGGACCAATGTTGTGGTGAACGCAGGTAGTCCTAGCACTGAGGACCTGAGGCTGAGGCAAGAGAATGCAGTTCGAACCCAGCCTAGGCAATTTAGCGATGTAGCAAGACGAATTTAAAAACAACAGTAGCAACACTAAAAAAAAGGGCTAGAGGAGTAGCTCAGTGTAAAAGCCCAGGGTTCAATGCTACCTGCTTGCAGGCACTTTAATCTGCTAAACTATTTGGCCCGCCCGAGGTGTGATTTTTTTTTTTTTTAATGTATTTCATATAGGGTCTAAAGGGTTTCACTACACAGATTGGACTCTTAGTGATCTTTCTGTTTTCAGCCTCCCAAGCGCTGGGATTCCAGGCATGTGTCACCATACCCGGCCTCAGTTGCCCGTCTCAGTGTGCCCAGTGGGCGGGACCAGTGCCCTGGACCAGGGATCGAATCCCTGGCCCTGTGTCTGCCTAAGCAGGCACTTCAATGCGCTGAACTATCTGGCCGGCCCTGCGTTTCTTAAACATAGTCAACATTTAAATTTTTTAAAATGGGGGACTGGGGAGACAGCTCAGTAGAATAAGTGCTTGCCTGGCAAGCACAAGGTTCTGAGTTCAATCCCCAGTACCGCAAAAAAAAAAAAAAAAAAAGTGTTAGGGGCCAGTTGAGATACCTCAGTGGACTAAGCTCCTGCTTAAGCAAGCACAGGGACTGGGGCTCGATCCATTGACACCACATGCCTATTGGCCCTGCCCCTGGGGCCCGCTGAGCCAGCAGCCCATGGATCATGGTGACAAAGGTCTGTAATCCCAGTACTGGGGAGTCTGAAAACAGGAGGATCACTATATGAGTCGGAGCTATGTAGGAGACCCTGTACCAAACAGATTTTTTAAAAAATTTATTTAAATTTTAGGGGCTGGGGAGATGGCTCAGTAGAATAAGTGCTTGCCTGGCAAGCACACGGGTCTGAGTTCAATCCCTAATTCTGCCAACAAAACAAAACACACACACACACACACACACACACACACACACAAATAAATAAATTTTATAAAAATGGTTCAGTTGTGGCAGTGCACACCTGTGATGTTATAACTTGGGAGGCTGACGCAGGAGAAACTTCAAAAATTCAGAGCCAGCTTGGGTAATAGTGAGTTAAAAGAAACCTGAACTACATAGTGAAACTATCTCAAAAACCCCTAAGGAGAGCCAGGGAGATAGCTCAGTTGAATAAGCACTTGCCTGGCAAGTGCAAGGGCCTGAGTTTAATCCTGGTTCTGAAAAACAAAACAAAACAAAAAAAAAAAAAAACCAAGGTTTCCATGTTTAACAGTAAAAGAAACATTACCATTTATTCCCTTCAAAATGTTCCCCCTTGCTTGGGATGCATACCCATCATTCTTGCTGCTTTCTCAAGCAGTTCTGGAAAGTTCTCCATTGTGGTTGACTCTGGTGTGCACTTGTGTTTCAAAATGTTTACCTTTCATGGTCATTGTGACTTGGGGGGGAAGAGCTTAAAGTTTCAGAGAGCCAGGTCTGATGAATAAATGAATGAGAACACACTGCAATGTTTTTACCAGCCCTCTTTTTTCTGGATGGACTCAATAGCTGCATTCACTGTATTTTGTATCATATACCATAAAGACCCTCACAAAAGGACCTGGAACTACCTCTGAAAGTGGCAAGAACAATGGGGTAATTGTATTCCAAGCAAGGGAAGTACTTTAAGGGTCACTGTCTTTTTTTCTTTTCTTTTTTCTTTTTTTCTTTTTTTTTGCACTGGGGATCAAATTTGTGACCTTGCACTCATATTTATGCCCATGAACTGTATCTCCCATCCCAAACTTTGTGTCTTACTGTAATACATTTGAGTTTTTTTGTTTGTGTTTTTTTTTTTTTTTTTTTGCCATACCGTGGATTGAACTCAGGACCCTGCACTTGCCAGGAAGGCACTTATTCTGAGCTATCTCCTCAGCCCAATTTGAGAAAATTTAAACAGGTACCTTATATTTTATCACATCTCATACAATGCCAATAGCACCTCTTGAGGGTATTGTCTGACCTACAGGGACTGAGCAGGGACTGCACTAGCATGGGTCAAAGGTAAGGCAGCCTCCTCAGTGAGCAGCTTGTGAAGGCTCAGAAAAACCTTGGTTCACTCCAGGTCACCCAGGGTAGCATTAATGTCTATTCTTCCCACTTCATCCTCATCCCATTTCTCCCTTTGCCCCAGGCACCCTCAGTGGAGGCAGACTGCCCAGCCCCATTTTATTGCTTCCTTATTATGTGATCTTGAATAATGCTTAGCGTTCCCATCAGCCAAACCAGGAGTGTAGTCCTGATACAGGGAGAAAAACTGATCTCGGGTGGATGACCTCCAAATGACACAGGAAAAAAGTTTGTGTTCTCTAAAACCGAAGAATGAGTTTTAGGAACAAATCGAGGTTATGAGCAGAATATATTTATTGAGGGAAAGAAAGCTCCTGTCTGGGGGTGGGGGAGCGGGTTGTTCCTGGGGAAGTTGTCTTTTTTTAATTTTAATTAATTAGTGTGTGGCCAGCTCAGCCCACCATGGGGTGGGGCTAGCTGGCATGTGGTGCTGGGGGATTGAACCGCGGTCCCTGTGCTTTGCTAAGCTTGTTCTAAATAGGTGCTTTGGACCACTGGGCATCTCACCAACCCAAAAGTTACCTCTTGCAGGGACTTTTATAGAGGAAAACCATGTGGTGAGGCGGGTCTAAGGTGGTGGAGGAGACATGGGAACTCGCTTAGGTGGGCATAAGGTGGGACAAAACTATGGTCAACCAATGAGATTACAAGTACCATTGCTCAGGTAAAACTGATTAAATCCAGGACCAAATGAGGATGTGAATCACGTAGCAAGCGGGCGTGAATACGGGACAGGATCTCTTCCTGTTGGGGGTTGGGCTAGTGACTCATTTGGGCTCTTTCAAGGTGATTGATACCTATTTAGGATATCAGTCCCTAATGCCCATCCCTAGGGAAGTAGGTAGCTGTGCTTCCTCTTTTTGTCTTGGTCTTCAGGTGTGGCCCATATGGGAGTGTCTCTCTTCCAAGTTGCAAGGTCACCTTGTCTTCCATCTTGTCTCCTTGAGGGCCTGGCCCAGTCTGACTGCCTATAATATTTCTAATTTGGCTGCCTGCGACAGTCCCAGCTCGGCTTCCTTCTCAGGATACTTCATGGTAGACAAGACGCAAATGAATGACTGCAGGAACAGTGAAAGACTATAACTGGAGGCCCTCATGTCCCCTCTCTGCCAAAAGGGGAGTAAGTTTATGACTCATCATAGACTGCTGAATTCTCAGGTTAGAGTGTATGCACTCAGAGCTACAACCTAGCTAGAGGCCTAGGTTTTCATCTGCAAAACCCTAGCTGGAGGCCTAGGTTTTCATCTGCAAAACCCTAGCTGGAGGCCTAGGTTTTCACCTGCATAGGGCCTGGCCTGATGGTGGCTCTGAGCTGACCACTGGGGAGGAGCAGGGCAGACTAAGCAGCAGAGGCAAAAGAGTCACAAAAATGACTGCGTAGAATGTCAAAATAGGCTTAGTAGAACTATCCCATTATCCCTTTGTAGACCTGAGCACTGGGAAATTGATACAAGGTCCGAGATTTTGGGGAATTCTGAGAAAGGGCCCCTGAGCAGAGTTCTCAGTGAAGGATAGGATAGAATGGACCACCTTGAGCCTTCAGAGGAGCTCTAGAGCTGTGGACCAGGTCCAAAGAACAGAACAGACTTCTGGTTCTTCACTTCTCCCCTGCTGAGGGGGAAGGTAAGGTTTGTGGAGGCTTCTGAAAGGTGCGGGGGATCTGGCCGCGGCATGCCTTGCTAGGGCGCTACGTCTGACCTTGAGCCAGTGCAGATGCCAGACTCGCTCCCCACTCCTCGCAGCGTCCTTGCACCTCCGCGGGGCTTTCATAGGATGGGTCCTCGGAGGGCCACAGTCCTGATGGCCTTCTGCTGGGTTACTTGAGCAGGACTGGAGTGCAGGTGGCCACGGAGCGACCAAGGACGCGGAGGGAAGGCGTGCTGGGGCCAGGACGTGGCAGACGGAGCTCACCAGGTACCCGGGCACCTCCTTTCTGGGCCGGCAGGTCTGCAAAGAAACAGGCGGGCTATGCAGGGAGAGGAGCGAGGTGTTGGGAGCCTCCTCCCTCTTACAGCTCAGTGCGAAGCTCCGCCTCTCCCTTCTCAGCCCGCAAGCCCAAGCTCGCCTCTCCGGGTCGCCCCAGAAGCCCGCCCCACTTTGCTCCTGCAGCCCCCGGCTCGCCCCCTATTCGCCAAGGTTTCCCTTCCGCCGGAAGCTATCTGGGAAGATCCGTGATTCTGTGTTCGTCTGTACAGTCTACACTGTACGTGTCTTTGTAGATTTTCCCTTTTACAAGAGGTAGCCCAGGAAACCTTAGACAAGGCTTTTACTATTGATTATTTATTTATTTATTTATTTATTTATTTATTTATTTATTTTGAGTGTGTGTATAGTAAAGACGCATTTACTACTCCTTAAGCAGTGACTCCTGGGCCGGAGAGATGGCTCAGTGGAATAAGCGCTTCCCTAGCAAGCTCACGGGCCTGAGTTCAAGCCCCGGTTCTGCCAAAAAAAAAAAAAGCAATGACTCCTCGCTTTGATAC